CCTCCCGCCCCTCTCCCCCCCCCCCCGCCGGCTGCCCCCCTCCGCCTCCTCGCTTCCCCCCCCCGCAGCCGATCCCGCGGGAGCTCCAGCAGCGAAGCGCGCAATGCCGGCCGAGAGGGCGAAAGCATTGGGGTCGCGGCGGGAAGAGAGGCCGGACCTTCGCCTGCTGCCTGCCCCGCTCTTTCCCCTGTTTCGGCCGCCGCTCTTTCGCCCCCTGGCGGAGGCGACCTTCGGGGAAGCAAAGGCGACTACAGTCCCATGAACCTCGCGCGATTAGGGACGGTGCCGGCGCCCGCGAATCTACGTGGTTTTCTCGGTAACGTTAGAGAAGGGGCTCGCTACTTCATTCTTCTGAAACGTTTTGCAACCTCCCGGCCTAGCTTACAGGTGGGTCTGGGGTCTCCTGGTGGCCTCCTATCCAAGTACTAACCACTCAGCTTAAGTTTCTGAATCAGACAAAGTTGGGCTGGTGCCTTCATCTTAGCTTTAGCTGAGTTTGACTGGCTCGTGCGAAGTTTTCAGTCTCTCGGTCTGAGTTTCCTGTCCCCAGTCTTATCTGTGGCTGGTAGAAAATCAGCCACTTCTGATTTTCGTGGAGGAGGCAAACAGTTATGTCTGAGAGACTTGGGGGCAAAATGTTAATACTGAACCCATACTTTGGATGGGGGTCTCTCCATGTGCGGGATGTTGGGATTGCAGCAGTCTGTAAATGCGATAATAAATTCACTTGCTTGCCATCATGCTCCCTTTCCGCCCACTAGCCAGGGGGCAACCAAGGTGGGGCATCTATGCTTTGCCTTTATTTCCCTATGGCTGGGACGTGCCCTCCCGACTGCTGAGCAAGACACCTCTACCTGCCATTGGGTACCACTGTCGCCACCTCTGGTGACCCCATGTGAGCCATTTGGGGAATTTTGTTCTTCCTAACTAGATGGAGCAGGTCAGCAGTGGAATCCAGCTGTGCCCTGGGAAAGCTAGACATATAGTAACTCTATCGCTATGAAAGAGTCTTTAAAGCAGCTTTAAACAAGCTGTAGATATTATGAAAAAGTTATTCATATCCAGAAAATGGCACATATGAGAGTCAACCACTCCCACCTTCAGTCTGCTCCTGCATGATCAAAAAAGTTCAGTGAAACTGATTTCCAGGATGTGTGTGTAGCGTTGCTACCTTGAAACTATGGTAATTCCACAGAGAGAGTTAAAGGTATGCCTAAAGAAACTACAATCCTTAATAATGGTTGGATCATTAAAATACCTTAAAACCATTAAATGAATTAGTAATGTGTTCTTTCTGAAGACACACATTCCTGCAATTAATTGTGATAATGGCTGCTTCCACAGATGAATTGTATCATGCAATTGCTCTGTCTTACAGATTTCATGAGGCCCTGCAGTCAATCTCTTTCCTTGCTACAAAATATTTTTTTGATTGGTTATATGCCAGCAAGTCATTTTCAACTCCTAGCAACCACATAGATAGATTTCCTCCATGATGATCTGTCCCCAATCTGGTCCTTCAGGTCTCCCAATGGTGCCCTCATTGCTACCGTAACCGAGTCCATCCACTTTGCTGCTGGTCATCCTCTTCTCCTTCCTTCCACCTTTCCCAGTATTACAACCATTTCCAGAGACCTGGGTCTTTGCATAATGTGTCTGAAAAAGGATAATTTGAGCCTGGTCATGTGTGTCTCCAGTGAATTGCTTTGGGTTGATTTGTTTGATGATCCATTTGTTTGTTTTACTGGCTGTCCACGGTATTCTCAGGATTCTTCTCCAGCACCAAATGCTACCAAATATGTAGGATCATATGTGCAGTGTCAGAGTACATTCCCCACTGTCTTTATATTATTTTCTCTTTTTTCCAAAATGTGTTCGGAGGAAAAGATGGAATACCTGCACAAAGTATTGCATGTAGTAGCGCTAGGAACTGTCCATTCGGAAGCAACCTTTGTCTCTTGATAATGTGAGGTAAAAGTCTTGCCACATGAGGGCATGCTTAAACCAGTGTTCCAGATTGTTTTCCATTCATTCCGGTGCGGAGTTATTACTGAAGTTGAAAAACCAGCTAATAGGGGGCAGAGAGCTATTCCAGTTTAAATGTTAGCAGTTCCAGTGTTGTGCATGTGTAGCACATTTAAAACCCATTGCTCCACTATTTCCACACAGGTTTTTCGGATAATGATTGCAAGATCCAGTGCTTCAGCTCTCTCATCTTCCTTCTAATGCTTAGGACATGAACAAAGTACCCCAAAACATTGCCTCTGTATTCCCCAGTTTCTGCCCTCCCCTCGTCTCAACTAAGAAAAAACAGAGTTTTTACAGTTCTAGAAAAGTTTGACTCTAATAAATTGCCTCTTAGAAGACCTGTTTGGAACGGGATCCTCACGATGCAGCAGGCCTGGTATGGCCCTCATGCCGATAGAAGTTGGCATCACTGCTTCATGCTTTCAGGAAAAACTACATTGAACAACCCAATTTCTCCCCACTACATCTCAGGAAGCTCTTAGGGTGTTTTTTTGGGGAGGAGGGGAATGGAGGGAGATGTAATGGTGCATGCTTACTAATGAGGTACAAGTGTACATACTATATGAAGCTAAAAAATCCAGAAGCCTGGTTTTCAGTCAAGGTTATCAAGTATCACTATTTCAAGCTAATATGTATAATTTTTCTGTAAGCTGGTGTTCAGTCCGGCCTAAACTACCTCAGGATTAACAGGCACTGTGCATCTAATTTAAATTATGGCATTCTCTCCAATTGTATTGAAGAAGACCAAAGTATGTTTTGGTGCTGGATATTTCGACTTTACCCAAAGGTACTGGAATGCAAGGAACTGTAAATACAATATCATGTGATAAAATGCATTGGAACAACAACAGGCATTCCAGCAGTAATTTTCTTCTGATGTAAAATATATTGGAATTCCATGAGCTGTTTGTAAAGGACGCCTTGCCATGAGGAAGGTAGGAAACTTTTCTCCCTGCAGATACAGAAGCAAGGGAGGAGCAGCACAGATCATCTTTCCTTCTTCTTCCAAGATTACTAGGCCGATCATAAATCTGGATCCCACCCATTAACAGATTGGCCAGACTAATTATAAGCATGCACATACATATATACATACATGTATACATTTATATATACTCATCAGATGGTCCACAAAATGGTGGGCATGATCAGGCAATCAAAGCCCCAGCCCTTTTCTGATGCTTGTGATGTGTGTGACACACATTAAAAGGGGGTGGGGCTTCGATCACCTAGGCACACCCAGCATTTTGATGTTGCTGACTTCTCCCATGCCCATGGACAACCCTGATATCCATGATGCTATACCCTGTGAGGGTAAGTAACACTATGCAAAGTGCAGAAAGAGTAAGCCAGACTGCAGCTTTTTATAACTATAAACCAAAAATATTTTCTAAGTTGTGGGAAAATGAAGCCTCAGAAGATATATTGTTTTCACACCATTTGTCATTCACATATTGTGAAAGCATCAGCCTCTCCTAATTATCCATGATAATTACATGTAGAACATTTTCCAAATGAAGTGGAAACTTACAAAATCAGGGACATCTGTGACAGCAACAAGTCCATGGGTATTCCAATAACAGAGCACAATTGTGTATTGGTTGACAATAAACACGCAAGCATGCGCAGTGACAATGGCAGGGGAGCCCCAAGAAGAATGGCACCAGCAAAGGAAAGATGGGGCAGCGGGGCTGTAGATGGCTAAGGGAGAGCTGTACCAAACCAGATGTTGTTTTCCTTCTCCTGGCTGTTCTGGGCAGCTGGAAGGCTTCCCACTCTTATGAAGTGCAAAGGAATGAAGCTTTGCTTGGGTTAGTCTATGCAAAATGCCCAAATATAGACATTTCTCTGGGCTTCAGAGAAATAACTCAGCTGCCTTGGACTCAGTCAGATCAGACTCAGCTTTTGCACAGAGCTGGCCAGCAACACAGTGACCTGGCAGTGAGAGGAGGGAGAAGATACTTTTGTCTGGCACAATGCGCCGCACACTCAGACCACATGGAAGACTTGTGTTTGTACACAAACAGGAACGTTCCACCCCAATGGCTTTTCTTAAAATTCTAGGCATGGCACAACTGATCACCATCAGTGCTCCTCCTAAGCAGATAACACCAAAAATCCCCTTACCCTAACCAGTTTGCCCTTGTGGTTTGGAGGAGATAGAATCCATTGCCCATGTACTGCAATTTCTACAGGGACATAAGGAATCCTCTTATTTCATCTCGTCTGTGACAGTATCCAGAACAAACCGCTACCTATATACATAAAGTTTCTACTTTTTGATTCTAATGCTAGCATTACCAGTATCGTGGCTAAATTCTGAGTTGCTGCAATTAAAAGGTGCCATCAAATCCTGTGTCCCTGATCATTATACTTTTGTATCTTTTTAAAAAAAATCTAGATAATTGATCACAATAAAAACACGTATATATAAAATTCTATGGTACCATTACCTGGTCAGTACTTAGAGCAATCTGTTTCTTTTCTCAGGGGTTAGAGCCAAGATGATCCAGGGAATGGAAAACCCAAAACAAGAAATCTGGCTTCAGTGGTCAGAACAACCATAACCATGTTACCCATTGTGAAACAGCTATAATTGTGAACAGTTGGGGGAGGAGGCTGAAACATGATTCTGTTGAAAGATTTTAGGCATACCATGTGGGGTCCAGCTCACACATCAATCAAGATGGCTCTTTCTGCACAAACCAAGTAGCACATCGGAAGGGCTTCATGGCCTCTGGCCCCAGAATGTTTCACTACTCACAATCAGGGGCATTTTGTGAGCTTTATTAATGAAAGTACAGGTAATTTTATACATAATGCAACTACATTCATGAGTTACAGAGTTGAAAATGGCAGCAACATCTGCATTTGAGATCTCATACTCAAGTGGTTTGTCTCTTGGCTTTTTCACTTCCATTATTTTTGCAAATGTGATGAAAATATCTTTTGCTTCAGCAAGCATACTTTCCCCCTACCCCCTGCCTTTTAAAGAGAATTAAAATTGAAGCATACATAACATCTCTTCAAGCATTTCACAAATGCGAACAAGAACTGCTTGACTCAGTTTGTCTGTTCATTTGGTCAGAAAAAGAAGCCCTTTGTTGTCATTTTTTTTGTGGGGTCCCCCTCCAGTACATACTGTCTAATAAACACTGCATTGAAGCCTTGATTATTTTGCATTTGTGTCCTGCATTTTGAATCCACATCATGATCTCCATAAATTAGCCTGGTGTCCTCCAGTGGTCATTCTTGCTGGAGATGATGGGCACTGGAGGCCAACATATCTGGATGATAGGAATTCCACTTGTTCTTTTTGAAATGATGGAGTCCAAGATATGCAGTCTGGGAGACGGAGCTCTATCTCTGTTAATAGGTATGAATTCTTGCTGCTTTCTATCAGGCTCCTGAGAATGCCTCAGTGCGTCTCCTTATTTGGATGTTGACGGAAATAGACTAGAAAATGAAAAACTTCTAATTGTTTACATTTGCACCCCTGGCATTATCTCAGTGCAGATATGCTTTGGCATTTTGTGTGAGCCATGAAACACTGCTCCACAAAAAGTTAGATATATCTATTCATCTATATATTAATCTCTTAAAGCCATGTAAATGCAAAAACATGTTTTAATTTACAGCCTGAACCATAAATTAGTCGAGTTCAATACTTGGATTTAGATACAGGAAACTACTAAGCCTACCAGGAAGCTGAACTGTTTTGCTGATGGAGTTGTTCTTTCTTCATTACTCTTCATAGGGCAAGGAAATGGTCCCTTTAATCACCACAGTACTGTCATATTGTTTCAACAGTTCTCATCTTGCACATTCTTCTGCAAGTGAAATGTTCTGTGCTCCGTGTCCAGTTCATGCTGCGTATGGTATCTACTTCATTCAAAGCTGTGCCCCAAACCTTATATCCTCTAGATGTGTTGGGTTACAATGTCATATTTAGCACATGGCTAATGATTGGGGATGATCAGTACCATAGCCCAACACACACAGAAGAGCCAGACTGGGGAAGACAGTGAGGGGGAAAAAAAGTGCTACTTCTTGAGACTGAAAACAGAGATTCAGCAATTTTCTAAAAACACTGTCACTCTTCCAGTCTCAGGCTCACTTCATACATGCCAAGCTCACTTCATACATGCCAAGTGGCATATTTGCCACTTCAAAAATACTTGCTGGTGACCAACTTCAGTCTTATCAGCACCCCCTGCATAGCCTGAATATTATGGGTACTCCATCAGGATTGATGAGGTCGGATGCACCCATTGATCCAACCACCATGTGATGCTAAATAATCATATATTACCAGGAAAGTATTTGGCAGCCATTATGCTAAAATATAATTCATGACTTGGGATTCATTTAGCGGGAAAGAAGACTGAAGTGACAAGGAAGGGAAGCTGACACATAGAGTGGGTGGAAGAGACAGCATTCTCAAAGTCCACATAACAAGGCTTACTGATGGGCATTTCAAAAACACAGATCTGAAAATCATCAATGTCTCTTCCTTCAGAGTGTTTCTTTCCATAAACCAGCATATTGTTTTAAAAAGAACTATTATAGAAACCTTCTGGTCCCCAAATTTTATCCCATGTCTGTAGTAAATGAATGTCTTGACAGATGTTTGATGTGATCTTCTAGTTATTGCCCACTTGATTAGTTAGAGCTCAAACTGATTGTTTGCCCCAAGTTCTAGAGATGCTGCCCGAATTTTTTCAAATTTGAGCTTCCAAAATTCAGCCCATTATACATGTAGACTGCTTGCCTTTTCCATTACTTCCCACCCACAGCTAAGCTTGTTCTTGTTCTCCTATTTGAATTCTACGATTAGGTATTCTAAAATGAGGCTGGGAAGTTGCTGCTTACTTCAGAGATAGAAGCAGCATGGCCCTCCACCTGGCAGTAATGCAATCCGTTCAGCTGCCCTTGCTTGCAGCTACATTCATGGCACCATAAGAGGTCTTCGGCAATCAAATGCAAAACTCATACCCATCTCTTTCCACCAAAGGAGCCATGGCCTATACAAATTTATTTTTGCTTTTCCACTATCAGAGAAATGGAATCCTTGAGGTCACAGAGACATTGGACAATGGGTTATGTCTCCATGATTTCTCCTCCACTCTCCTGCTTCAGTATACATTATTCCAGACATAATAGACCATGGCATTGCCACTTCAGTCCAGCAGCAAAGGGTACAAATGTAACAGCTTCATTTGGAATCTTCTCGTGTTGAAAGTATGCTGTATACCTTCTCATGCTGCTGCTACTCCAGTGTAGCTCTTTCAGTGTTCATAGTGGCAGGTGACTGCAGTGTTGCTGCCTGGGAAATGGTGAGATAAGCAGAGATGCCCCAAATTCAGACTTCTTCAAGAGTGACAATATTTGCCCCTTTACCTTCTGAGCTACCGCAATGAAAATTAGACAAAAAGCCCAAATATACCATATCTGCAGACCCTTCTCAGGAGAAAAACAAGTTTCATTATTAAAAAGCGCTAAAAATAAATATTACTTCTTCCTGGTAACATTGCCTCTTGGCAAACCATCTAATTCCTTTATCCAAATTAATCCCACAGAGAACACTGTTCATCTGGGACTAATGCAGGGCGGGCTGTTACTCTGCTGAGTTCTTCTCATGTAAACAGTCACCCGAGAGACAAACACAGTGATTCAGCCTTGGCAATCTCATCTGTCCAAGAAATCTAGATTCTTTTCCCTACTATTGAAGTAACTTGGGAACATCCACCTGCCAAAATAAGACATGAACCTGTTAGTACAAATTCTAAAACCAGAGGCATCTAATGGTGGTACAGACAATTCCAGGATACAGCAATTCATCAGACAAGCAAGTGTGTTAATATCCCCTCTTTCACTCTCCTCCATCTTCCCTTTGTGGCTCCCTCCCATCACAGCTATTTTTATTATTAAAAAGCACATCTTAATTTAGGTTAGCCCTGAAACAGCCTTGTCAAAATGGGTTTGCCTGTTGAGATTGGTGTTCTTAGAGGCAGATGCTGAAACCTAAAAGATCCTGACATCCTGTCTCAACTGCCATCTGCCTTATCTGCAAAAGATAGTGGCACCTGAAGGGCTGCAAGGATTATCCAAATAAGTGGGTAAACTCAGGTGGTGCTTTAGAAACCCATCTTCCAACAGAGATGTTAATTGGAGACTTTTTGGGTGTGAAACTCCACCAGGAGTTTAGCAATACTGAAGGAATATAACCCTTGCATGCAGAAATGACAGGGAAATATTCTATCATTAGACACAGAAATTTGAGGTGACTGACTGTATGTGTGAGTAAAGCATTAAAATAAACTAGCATTATCAAGGTGGTAGCTTTATTGAACCTAGCAATAATTGTCAAATGCTGCATCCCAGTATGACCTCCATGACTGTGTCTTGATTCACACATAGCAAGAAGCCATTGTTTGTTTTAACTATAGCTCGTTGAACTATGGCCTGATGTATATATAACACTGTGCATAAAATATGGATTACAAACCACAAGGTTCAGTCAATGAGTAACATTAAGCAAAATCAAGCAAGTCACATTATAGCTTAGTGCCATAATGACATACCTTCTTCAACTGCTTCTTGTTGCTAGAGCGAATGGCAGCCAGAAGTTGATCTCTGGAATTCTTCTCCTGGGGAGGAAGCGCTTTCTCTACCATCTTCCTCTGAGTGGCCGGAGAAAGGGACAAGCGTAAGTTTTCATTAATCAAGGGAGGAGCAGGTGGAGGGGCTAGAGGGGGTGGTGGGGGAGGAGCATCTGGGGTGCCAGTTTTCTTAGGAGGAGCTTTAGGGGAAGACCAAGGGGAGGTTTTGGGGGATGGTTTTGGAGAACTCTTTGGTGAGCCAGCTGGCAAGCATCCTGCCTTTGGCACCTCAAGGAAGTCCTTCTTCTCCACCTTTTCTTGAGCCTGTTTCTGCTGTTGTAAGCGTTTCTGTCGTTGTTTGTCCATATTCCTGCTTAGCAGGTTTGTGACTGTCATGCGTGGCCCAGCTAGTTCAAAGTGGTAGCCCAGTTTCAGTAAAGTGATGTTCTCTTTCAGCAGCTTGGCTATCTCCATCTCAGTCTTCCCTCCACAAATATGTCTCTGATTGTGAAAGCGCAGCTCAGTCAGAGTGTTGTTCTGCAGCAGTGCACGAAAGATGGCCAGAATCCCTTTGCCTGTGATATGATTGGAATCCAGGTTTATGCTTGTCAGTGACTTGTTGGACTTTAACATGATGGCAATGGCAAATGCAACATGATCATCAGCACGTGTGTTGGCCAGGGCAAAGACCTTGACCACGGTGTTGAATTCCAAGGCCTCAGCAAAGCGTACCAGGATCTCATTGTTGATGCAGTCAGAATTATTGATGTTAACTTCTACCATCTCCGGGTCATTATTCTTAATCTTTTCCAAGGGTTCATCAAAGATGCTGGTGGCTTCATCCTCCTTGCTCTGGCTTGAAGAACTATCTGCAGATTTAGAAGGGCTGCTATCAGGAGGCTCCTGGATCATGTTCTCTTGCTCTAAAATTGAGACTTTTGTCTCTGGAATTCCTTTACTATCACTCAGCAATTTCTCTTCAGTGCCAACCTTTGAGCCTGGCTTTGTAGCTGAACTTATTTCTCTTGCTTTGGGGGGTTCTTTTTTATCTTCTCTCTTTGAGTCTTGCTTTAAAGCTGATCTTCTTTCTCCCATTTTTTCATATTCTTTTTTATCTTCAATCTTTCTGTCCCACCCAGTCCCTCTCTTATGTTCTGCTGCCCTCTCTTCTTTTCCTTTATCTTCTACTGACTTGCTCTTTAGCAGTTTACCTCTTTCTTCCCCTCTCACCTGGCCTTTTACATTTTTATCTGCTGCCACGGATTTTTCTTTCTCTCTGGAGAACCTTTTTTCATCCTTACTGGTTTTCTCGTCTTTAGCTAGTCCCATTTTCTTGTTGCTGTCTGTTTCATCCTTTCCCTTCTGATTTGCTTTGTGGACCTGTTCTTCTTCTTTTCCTTCTTTTATCAGATCAGAAGGTCTACTTTTTTTCAGATCTCTGCTGTAAGGTTCCTTACGCTTGTCTTCGAGAATCTTTGCCTCTTTCTTTTTCTCTGTTGCTGTTGCTTCCTTGGGAGTGGGGGGAACCAGAAAGAAAACTTGGTAAGAGAGAATGATCCTATGCATGTCATTTTGAGCTCCCAGAAAAAAGGCAAGATATAAATGTAGTAATAAACACATATTTAGTAGAATAAAAACCAGCAGTCAGTCAATGAAAACCAGAGCTAATATTACTACCATTTCCAAATATTAGTTAAACCTAGTTATACAGCTGCCTAGTTAACGTGAAAAATGCATACGGCAGTGGTGCTGTTAGCACAGACCGTAACAGCAGAAGTCCAGAGTCTGTAGCTGCTGGGCAAACTGTACCTGTCATTGCAATTGTGGGGTGCTTCTGCTGAAGTTCCTCTCAGTGGTGATGCTACTGGAGGTGATGAAGCAGGGGAGAGGTAGAAGTTGATACAAACATGATGGACACTGGATGCTAAGAAACTGGGGCAAGATGTTTGAAAAGAGGTCAAAGTCATGGAATAAAGCCACATCCAGGGAGAGGGGGGCAAACTACATGTGATGCATTTTTGTACCTAATATGCTGCTAGTGGTGGGTGTTCATAAAGATTCCCTTTGTAGGATCCAAGATATTCTGCTGCAATAGGTTGGTTTCAATAAAATGCTTGGAGACAATCTTTTCTCCAGTATGATATTAATTGTATTTCTGATGGATTTAATTTAGTGTCTCTGAAATGCTACTCAAATTCGTGCTGTGATTTTCCTGATAGACCAGAACCAGTGTTCAATTGCTATGATATAGTTTTGACAGCCATTTCTGGGGTGAGCCATATTGTTGGTCTCATTTCACCTTATGCTGTGGCTTTTTAGGTTTGCTTTCCCTGTTTCACTTTCATTATCAAATTCTTTATCTACGGTATACACTATTGCACTCCTTTTAAGTAATAGTCTGATTGCTTATTTAATGGCTTGCTTTTCTTAGAGTGACAGGCTCACTAAATATGTCCCAGTTCATTTCATTTTCTGCAGGTTTTTCCTTTACATTGGCTTACAGTTTGTGTGTGTAAATATCTGCCACAATGATAACACAATTAATTTTAACTTATTGTCTGTCTATATGTTATTGCCAAGTTTATTAACATTTGTTTTCACTCCTGACTGAAGCTATATTGTAACTTTAGCAGCAGTTTCCATGGACACTGTATAGCAATTTTTGTTGCTCTTTTAAAAGTTAAATGTCCTAAGAATCTTAGATTTGTTGAGGTTTTTAAATGTTTTCTTTCAGAATTCCACAAACTAGCTGATCTTGGAATGCATCATTTAGCCCTTCACCAAATATGCAAAGTTCAGACATATTTCAAATTCAGCTGCCTATGCTGTAATGGCCTCTCCCTCTTTTTGTTTGCAATTATGAATCTTTAAATGCTCTACAGTCAATAATAATTTTGGAACCAAATATTCTTGCATTGTTTTTACTAGTTCTGCAAAGCTGAATTGTGAAGGTTTTGTGGGGCATTTAAGCTTCTGAATAAGCTGTGTATTCTATTCCCTATAACACTAAGCAAAACAGATATTTTTCCCAGCAACTAACTCTTTTGCTTCAACAAAATAGTTCAAGCTTCTTTCTCTCTCTAATGTCCAGTCATCTGTGGCACCATCCTGCCCAGTAATCTTTTCCTGAACTGAGCCGTCCTGCTGTGTTCTTTTCCCTTTGTCTTTACTCCTTGTGTCCATTTAAGTGTTAATTCTTCCTATGTATGTTTGTTTATAGTTTTGCTGCTCTTCCTCCCCCTCTGGAGTAAAGTAAGGCTTTTGTTTTACAATCCTACATTGTAATCGCTCTTGTGTTATTGATCAAACTATACTAACTAGACTTAGGAATATGTTTTTCTGCTGCTTGCTTTTCTGAAACTTCTAGAGCAGTGTTTCTCTACCTTAGCAACTTTAAGATGCGTGGACTTCAACTCCCAGAATTCCCTAACCAGCTTGCCTGCTGGCTGGGGAATTATGGGAGGTGAAGGCCACACAACTGAAATTGCCAAGGTCGAGAAACACTGTCCTAGAGGAACTAACTCCAGTGAGTCTGCAAGAACTGTAAGCCATACAGACAACCCAAGATAATCAAGCAACAGTAGAAGATCATGGGCATCAATCAATAACAATAATAATCCAATACATTGCAAAGATGATATATTTAGAATTGAAAGGTATTCAGCACCACTTACAGAAAAACACTCCATACCCTCTAAAATTACAAAATTATTTACAATGAAAGTCAGTGATATAGAGAGTATTTTGTGTGTGTTCCAAGATTAGTCTTGAGTTATATATTTTCTGCAATAGTAGCTAAATAAATAAATAATCACAACATTGGAAACCAAGTATTTTAACTGGAGAAGCCCCTTGGTTCAGTTACTGTGAAAGTATAATTTCCCATCTCCCACTTTGGACTCGGTATAATTGAGGAAATGCAGCTATGCAAGCAGTGTTCTATTTTGATCCCTAGACCAAACTACTTGGGCATAAGGTACCCCCCACAATGATAGTAATGTTCCACAAACAGAGAGCTGGGCCAAAAAATATAATTGGCATCGTCTAAGAATGTTGTGATTGTCAGGGTGTTTAAAATTGGAAGAATAACATGGCGTAAGGCATTGAGCACCTGCCAAAGACTTTAGGGGAGTTCAGGGGACACCTTTATCAAACTTGGAGCCTTTTGATCCTACTGCTTTACCTCATGCATTACTATTGCTGCCTGCACGTTTCCCCTTCTTACCGTGGCAGCTGGAAGAGTGAGGAGAGCCACTATTAGCCACAAGATATGTACCCTTTCTCTGAACAGTTTTATAAGCTGGACCCATAGGAAAGAACAAATGAATAGGCAGAAAGAGTAGAAAATGTGGAGCAGGGAGTCTAGCCAGTTTGGTAGATGGGAATTGGACCTGGCACTGGAATTACAGCTGCCACTCTAAAATCAGCTGCTTTGGGTTACATAACATAGCTTCATTTCTTTCTTTCTTTCTTTTTTTTAATAAAATAACAGGGAAGTTGGTAAGTGCTTTTCAGAAGACTTGGTCATCAGCGTATAATATAATACTATAACTGTGATGGAATGGACTTATGAAGGCCATGCTCAGGGAGATAAGCATGTTCTTAGCCCCC